TAAAAGCAAACGCACACTCGCACCAATGTGGCGAAATGGAATTCTCGCGCGCAAAATGTTCTGTAGAAACCAATTRSATTTGCATGCATATATTAATAAAATTGCATTGAATTTCAAGATTGTAGAAGTATATCAAAGTTTCAACAAAGAAWCAAAGCTTAACGTTGAAAAGAATTATAAATGTTAAAAGAATGGTGTTTGTTTACTTATAGGTGGGAAGAGGGAAGCACTTCTCAGCTCCAACGCATCAACAAACTAAGCGACAGGCAAATTTAATACCACACAGCTCTGAAAAATTATAATAAGAAAAATGAAAATCAACATGCCCACGATTTTCCTTCCATTCTTCCATCCGATGTTTTGTGAATATGATCACTTTAATGGTTGAATTTGKCAGTTTTCACAGAGAATACTTTAATATGAAATTCGTATCGATCAAATGTCTATCAGCATGATAGCCAGCCTGCACACAKCTTGCTATTATTATTTAGCCTTGTAACCTCATGACAGAACAGATAGGACCTATGACTTCCAGTGCGAAAAAAAACTCGCTGAAATGATTTACTTYCTCAGTTTTCCCAGGAAATCAATAAGCTGGTGATCATATTGAATCAGTGCGGGCAGTRCAGGAGGACCTATGGCATCCGGCCGACTGATTACAACTTTTTGATTGTGTCATGGCGTCGAATTCATGAATATATACCATTTTATGAAAGCGTTTCTTTTTGTCAAAATGTTAAATGCAAGTATTCATTACAGTTGTGAAGTTTTTTTGAAACAAGAATGATAAATAGGCCATTTTAAGTCATTGTATTTTTTTGTTAATGTCAAACATTAGTACGCAAAATAATCGGCATTAGTCTGAAAAAGAAAAAATGCCAAAGTGACTATATGAAGGTTAGTGATAATATTGCTTGTGTAACTTATAGAAATCCCCATAAAAAATCACACACACACAAAACGCGAAGGCTTTAAAAACACCGTTCACTTTTACATACAGGTTTCGTCCGGTAGTGGAAGTAGTAGTTAGTTTTAGCAGAAAAGATCGCAACTTTCCGTACAATTTCATTGTTTTACTAATGTATTTTGTATTGTTATTTACACAGTAACAACAAAAAAGATAAGACAGTACTAATGGTTGAGTATGTTATCAGTGTTGTACCGCTAATCAAAAGACAAAACTCTTTTCCACCCCAAGACAGACGGATAGGTTCACCTGCTTTCTTTCCCTCTAACGAGCTCTATTCTTCACTATTAAGTGGCATTTTTACCTTTGCAGTCTTTACACTCGTTGTGAAATACGAGTTCAAAAGCTGAGCTGCTTCCTGAATCACGTCTTTGTGAACGCGGCGAAGGGAGTTGTGTTTGAATAGCTTATCTTCTTGTTCTGGTAGAAGCGACAGTGAAGTCATTGTGRATATGAGAGAGTTTTGACATACCGTGACGTCACCAATTAGCAATCTGATTGAAGGCTTGCTACCGCAAATCGTAATGTCGTCAAAAATTCTTGTGATTAATTATGTAAATGATTTTACCCACGTGACAGAGGTTCACGTACAAGAAAATTACCATTAATTCACGGTGACAAAACTATAATTTTGATCTGCAATCACCAAGTTAAACAAAATCCAAGCTTTTGCTTTTAATCTAAAACGGAATCACGTTGTTTTTTAATTCAGTATTAACACTACGCCTTCCATTCATCGTTTACTTGCTAATAAAATCGTCA